CAGAAGAAGCGCCAATTAGGCAGAAAGGGGAGCTGATCCTGGTGCTTCCCCTGAGCTCTCCCGGCCTTGGAGCACCAATTAGGCGGAAAGAGGCCGAGCTCTCCCGGCCTCGGAGAAGCACCGATCAGGCGGAAAGGGGCACTGATCCTGGCGCTTCCCGAGCTCTCCCGGCCTTGGAGGAGTGCCAATTAGGCGGAAAGGGGCTGAGCTCTCCCGGCCTCAGAGAAGCGCTGATCAGGCAGAAGGGGCAATGATCCTGGCATTTCCCTGAGCCTTGCCAGCCGGACACACGCCTCTCGGTGTCATATGGTTTTCAACATTTCGCTCTAAGCAAGGATGGAAAAAGAGAGAAGAGCCCCTCTCGTCAAGAACTGAGAGCCGACGGTTATTGGCGTCGTGGCTCAAGGCGCGTGACAAGGGAAAGAATATGATTAACACCACGCATGCGTGCACACACACACACACACACACACACACATCGCTTGTCTTCCACCACATTTTGTTCATGTCAATCTTTTTTTTTCTTCGTAATATTGGGAATTGAAAAATAGCGATTCTACACAAACGCACACACAAACACGCAGGCGGGCACGCCCCCTCTCCTCATTTAGTTCCTTTCCTTGGCTCATCCACTGCACATTCCTGAGGCGGCGGCGGCAGCTTTGGCAGTGTCTCAGTTCCTAAGACCATTGGAAATATGTGTTTTCCAATGGTCTTAGGCGACCCCTGTGAAAGGGTCGTTGGATCCCCAAAGGGGACGAGACCCACAGGTTGAGAACCACTGCCTTATATGCTTTGGCCTCCAGTCCCCTAATCATCTTTGTTGCTCTTCTCTGTACTCTTTCTAGAGTCTTAACATCTTTTTTACATCGTGGTGACCAAAACTGGATGCAGTATTCCAAGTGTGGCCTTACCAAGGCATTGTAAAGTGGTATTAATACTTCATATGATCTTGATTCTATCCCTCTGTTAATGCAGCTCAGCACTGTGTTGGCCTTTTTGGAAGCTGCAGCACACTGCTGGCTCATATTTAAGTGATTGTCCACTAGGATTCCGAGGTCCCTCTTCACAGTTACTACTATTGAGCAAGGTACCCCCTATACTATACCTCTACATTTGGTTTTTCTTGCCTAAATGTAGAACCTTACTTTTTTCACCAATGAATTTCATTTTGTTAGATAGTGCCCAGTGTTCAAGTCTGTCCGGATCCTCCTGTATCTTAAACCTGTCTTCTGGAGTGTTGGCTATTCCTGCCAGCTTGGTGTCATCTGCAAATTTGATGAGTTCCCTCATCCAAATTGTTGATGAAGATGTTGAAGAGCACTGGGCTCAGAACAGAGGCCTGGGGCACCCCACTACACACCTCCTTCCATGTAGATCAGTGGTTCTCAACCTTTTTAATGCCGCGACTCCCAACCGGTCGTAAGTTGAGGACTACTCAACCGGTCGTAAGTCAAGGACTACTCAACTGGTGCAGCACCGTTTGCAGAAGTGTTCAAGTCTGTCCAGATCCTCCTGTATCCTAAGCCTGTATTCTGGAGTGTTGGCTCTTCCTGCCAGCTTGGTGTCATCTGCAAATTTGATGATTTCCCCATCTATCCCCTTGTCCAAATCGTTGATGAAGATGTTGAAGAGCACTTGGCCCAGAACAGAGCCCTGGGCACCCCACGACACACTTCCCTCCATGTAGATATGGTTCCATTGAGGACCACATGCTGAGTATGGCTGGTCAGCCAGCTATGGATCCATCTGGTGATGATGCTGTCTAACCCACATTTTCTATCTTATCAAGTAGTAGGTTGTGATCTACTTTATCAAATGCCTTACTGAAGTCCAAGTAAATTATGTCCACAGCATTCCTCTGATCCACTAATTTTGTCACTTGGTTAAAGAACGCAATAAGATTTGTCTGGCATGATCTGTTTTTGACAAACCCATGTTGGGTTTTAGTAATGAATTCGTTTGCCTCTAGATGTTCGCTGATTCGTTGTTTGATTATCTTTTCCAGAATCTTCCCAGGTATTGAGGTCAGGCTGATATGTCTGTAATTTCCTGGGTCCATTTTTTTCCCTTTTTTGAAGATGGGAACTACATCAGCTCTTTTCCAGTCCTCCAGTAGTTCCCCAGTGCTCCAGGATCTTTGAAAAATATAGTTCAATGGTTCTGAGCTCACATCTGCCAGTTCCTTGAGAACCCTGGGGTGTAATCCATCTGGTCCTGGTGATTTGAGGCTGGACAGGTGCTCACTTACCGTTTTCTTGCCTATCTTAACTTGCGTTTCTATACTGTTTTTTATGGCACTATTTTTGACAGGTTGGTCTGTTTTTTCCCTTTGTGTAAAGATAGATGCAAAAAACGAGTTAAATAGTTCTGCTTTCTCCCTGTTGCTTGTCACCTTCTTGCCATTTTCCCCCACTAATGGACCAATCATTTCCTTCACTTTTTTCTTGTTTTTTACATGTTGAAAGAAGCTTTTTTTGTTATTTTTGACTTTGGTCGCAAGCCTTAGTTCATTTTGAGCCTTAGCTTTCCTCACTTTATATGATAATATGCTGTATGGATGAAAGACTATCACCCAAAATAAAGTTACAGCATTGTTCAGGACATGAAATTATAATCAGGAAAGTAAAAGCCAGTTGATAATGGCTACATTGGGGGAACAATGGGATCTCTTTTATTGCATATGATAGTCTGAGAATCTAATAGACATTGATCAGACATGTTTTAATTTAAATTCCAGCTCTGAGCAGATGTTTGGTGCCTAAGACCTAAGTAGCTTCCTTCAACTCTATGTGATATGCTCATTTTATTTAATAAATATATCAGGAAATATAAGCCACAGTTACTGTATCATATTTAAAAAAATCTACAGACTAAAGCTACATTAAATTATTGAATGCATACATTAAAATGAAATCCAGGTGATATTATTTTAAAGTTATATTTTGTAGGCATACTCTTCTATGGTACCACAATGGTAGCAATCAAGCACATCACACTGGTATATAGTTGAAAATAAATACTTTGTATTCACATTTTCTGTATCTGAAGCATTGAAAACCGTATTTTTGTAGTAAAATAAATTTCTACAAAAGGATGATATAAAGGCTTTTCAAGACATACAGCACCATTACCAAGCACAAAATAGACTAAAGAAAAACAAACTGAGTATGAAAAGAAAATAGCCTGAATGTTGGGAAATGGGAAACAGTGATGGGAAAGTAGGAATAATGAACATGTCTTTCAAAATTAGAGACATATGTGCTGTACCAGCAATACATACACGTTTAGTTAAAAGCAAATAACACTAAAAAAATTAAAGTAACAAGCATGAAGAATATTGTACAATGACTTGCAAGTCTAGGAAAAGAAGGAGGAAAGTACATTGATGGTTATCTCAATCAGTTCAAGAGGAAAACTAGTAATACCATTCCCAAAATTGTGATTTATATCACTGTTTCAAAAAGTCTACACTTCCTTCCTTTCCTTTACCATCCCCTTCTCAGTTTTGTTCTCCATCACCATCTAACACTCTCTTACACACATTTGTCTTTCAAGACATTTGTACATGCAACTGATCAACTACCCTGTAATCCAAGAAAGTTTATGGGACAATAAATTTATTGTTTTTTTAAGCTGATGCTGCCTTCAATTCCTGAATAAAAGCTTAAATATAAATCTAACAAACAAATAATTAATTGCAATAATGTTTTCAATGCACATTTGTTTTCAAACATTCCTACTACAGGAAAGACAAATGCAAAGGATAGAACTCTTGCACAATTTGCTGCTGAGCCAAAGGAAAAATTGCAACAGATGTACTATTCTCACCCCTCAACTATAAATGATACTTGCCAAAAAGCTTCCTCCAAACAGGTTCCTTCAGAGTTAAGAATTACAAATATTGGCTGCATCCACACATCATATTAAACTTTGTTATTTTTAACATTGCTTATCCATCTCCCTGGAGTTCTATAGCAGATTGCACCACAAATTAAACATATTACAGTATCTAATTTCAAACAAGTTGCAAAAATATAAATCCTAGCCAAATTAGTTGAGAATGTTGGCCAAACCACAGCTGCACAAATTGGTCTATTCCTATCTAATGGTTGTTTCATTAGGTAGCATTAGAATATTATTTTTCTGGTTTTGGGATTACACTAAGAGGCCATGTAGGTTTCTAATGTATCTCCTTTGCTTCTAGCCGGCACATTAATAAAACAATGTTTGCTTTATGTTTAGCTTTTGACATGTTATATGAATTCTGTCATTTAGTATTTAACACCCCTTTGAAACCAGCAGGGGAGAACATGACATATATCCAAGGAGAGTCTGACACATATCTGACCTCTCTTTTTTAAGAAGTACAGATGAGACAATGGAAGGTTAGAGAAGGAAATTTTTGCTTGTGAATTTGTGAAGGAGAAAGTGTTGTCAATTTCTTGGACTATAAAATGACATTACAATAGTCTGCTCCCTGGTCTGTTAAAGCTTGAATAATCTTAACACGTAAAAAGAAAGCAAGGAATGCTGGAAAAGGCTCTTATGCTTGGGAAAAACACCCAGAGCAACAGAAAAATAGGCAGCAATAATGGTACATAATTCCTCTTCCAGCTATGTATACAGGTAGTCCTCAACTTATGACCACAATTCAGCCCAAAATTGATGTTGCTAAGTGAAACATTTGTTAATTGAGTTTTGCCCCATTTTATGACCTTTCTTGCCACAGTTAAGTGAATGTTTGCAGTTGTTAAGTTAGTAACACATTTGTTAAGTAAATCTAGCTTTCTCATTGGCTTGGCTTGTCAGGTCACAAAAGGGGATTACGTGACCCTGGGACACTGCAACTGTCATAACTATGAGTGAGTTGCCAAGCATCCAAATTTTGATCACGTGACCAAGGGATGCTGCAACAGTCCTAAGTGTGAAAAATGGTCATAGGTCACTTTTTTTCATAGATCACTAAATGAACTATTGTAAATCGATGACTACCATACCTGTAATAAGAGTCGTTCAAGAATTCCCCAACCCCTTACACTTTTTTGTTGGAGTAGACGGAGTAAATTGATTCGATTCTAGTTTCAACCGTTTGAGTCGTCGCTCTCTTTAAAAAAAAAAAAGAAAATAATTGTTTTTGGATAGTCCCAGCGCTACTAAATTTGTAAAGTCCTTCCAAGAGCCTTGGCTAAGCCGACAGTTCTTCCCTCGGTCACTTCTAGCAGGCAAAGGAGGGCGTGCGCGCACCCGGGCCGAGGCAGGGAGGCGCCCGCTCGGTTGGCCTTTCCTCGCCAAGGGCGGGGCGGGAGCGAGGCGGACGGGCGGAGGGGGAAAGGAAACGAAGCGGGAGTTATTCGCCGGCGCTCCGGTTGGCAGCGAAGACCTGGCGGGTCTTCCCTTAGCTCTCTTGAGAAGGAGAGAAGCCTCATTTGGCTGGAAGCGATTCTTCCCTGGAGAAATCCGGGAAGTCGAACCGAGCGAGCTTAGCGGGTGCGCGCGGGAGTTTTCCCCGAGTCTGTCCCGCCAGTTGTGGGACCGGGGCAGGAGGCGAGCTCCCGGTTTGCCTGCAGCGAGCGGGCATGAGCTCCGCTGCAGCCTTCCCAGGTTGTTGAGGCCAGGTTAAGATGAAGCAGGGAGCGGTCAGTATTGGCGGCTGAAAGCTGCCGAGCGCGCCGTCGATGGCTGGAGATCGCCGGGACCACCTCGACTCCTCCTCTCCCGTCCCACCCTGGACACTCCCGAGTCTTGGCCGGGTGACGTCTGCCATGGGCTCGCCCTCCCTCCAACCCTTCCTCTTTGGAAAGACTTCTTGAGTCCTAATTTCTCTTTCCGCCGCAGGAAGCTTCTCTCCTAGGGAAGTGGAAGGGACGAGCGACGCTGAACCCGGCTCTGCCGAGGGAAAATGCGAGCCGGGTGGTTGCTGGCCGGTTTCTCCGTGCTCAGCCTCCTCACTCAAGGCTACCTGGCTGGGGCGACGGCAGAAGACTCCGAGGGACCGAACGGGACGGCCAAGTTGGAAGAAGACTCCCCTTTCCAGCCCCACCTCATCTTCATTCTGGCGGACGACCAGGGCTTCAGAGACGTTGGTTATCACGGTTCAGAGATCCGGACTCCTACTCTGGATAAACTAGCCGCGGAAGGAGTTAAGCTAGAGAATTACTATGTCCAACCAATGTGCACCCCGTCCAGAAGTCAGTTCATCACTGGGAGGTAGGTGATATGGGTGTGTGTGTGATCATTAACTTGATCTCAGTGACCTTGTCTGAAAAAAAAGATGTTTATTTTATTTAATGAATAGATTAGTCTTTTTTTAAAAAATAGTTTAGTGTGCTTATGTCCTCTTTTATTTCCCAAGTGGTCTTTGACAACACCACACAAATTTGACAATATTCTAAAATATCAGTTTAGCACAATTCTAAATATGACTGCTCAGAATTAAGTCTCATTGAATTTAGTGGGTGGACTTACTTCCAGTAAACTGAGAATCTTATTTTGCTGATGAGAGAATCTTATGAGGTCATTTTCTTTTTAAAGCATCACAACTCCACATTGTTTATTACAGACTAACATATTACACCTGGAAATGGGGACTTATTGGAAGCCCAAATCAACACCTGTACTTTATTAAATCCATTCTTAAAATTACTGATTTCATAATATTTTGAATATAATAATTGTGAATATAATAATAATAAAATAATAAAAAATATCAAACTAAACAATCCATACTATCAAAAAAGAAAGGAATGAAATGAAACAGGAAAAAAAACCTACCTTATAAATTAAACTCACAATCATTAGCTTATGATAATCTTAATGGAAAATATTATTGTATCATATCATAAAACCTATGCCAAAGAAGGACATATCACTTCATTCTTTGATAAGCATGAAATAGATAAGTTACACATTTTCAAAGGCAGTCTTTACTATCTGGAATAATATCACTTTTCCAATTTTTCAGTGGTACAATCATACTTCCTCATGGACAGTTATTCCAGAACTGTGGTATATAATTGAATATCACATTAATATCTTTAATATTTTATTTAAAAAATTTCCCCATAAACCACTTACGTACATAAAGTACAATTCCTCCCAAAGTGTCGAAAGATTCACAGGATCTTTCTTATTAATCAGCTGGTATAAATACCATTTAAATGTGTTTAAATACCAATACCATTTAAACATGTTTAAGAACATGAATCTATTAATGAGACAGTATTGGAGATTTCAATTCTTTAGCCCAGGAGTCTCCAAACTTGGCAATTTTAACATTTGTGGACTCCCAGAATAGGAAAGCATCACATATGCTTCTGAAACAGCCAACATTTCTGGTCAGAATGAGCCATTAAATTTGTTTAAGTTGAAAATATGGCCACTGTTGTGAATTCAGATGACCCAATTCTCTTTAAAGTCAGGAAAAGTTGCTATCCTGGCTTCCACCCATATTTTCCAATAAATATTTATCATCTATTTTTAAAGTAGAATTTTTCCGAAGAGTTAAATTCATGATCAGAATCCAGTTTACACCACAATATAGCCCAAAGATTTCTCCCAGCCTGTAGTCTTGGAAATAAGACTCTTTCCTACTAGATGTTCTAAGAACTTATATCATGATTGCTGAAGCTATAAATAATAATTTTCCAACAAAGGCCATAAAGCATTATGATGCATTAAATTTTGATTTACATATTTATGACTGATATAATTTCAGTACAATGATATTTTTGCAAATCAGATAAATTAAACCATCTTTCCTCAAATTTTAAGTAGTTCAGCTAATGAAAGCCTTGGGGGATTACCATCCCAAATAAATTTCCTAAATAATGTATCAACCTGAAAATTTTTTTGCTATTAATACTGGGATACTTCTAAGATCATAAATCAAATAAGGGACAATATACATTTTAATAAAATTACTGTTACTCTCAGACACAATGGAATTTTAATACATCTATTTATACTTAATAATTTTTTTTTAAAGTTTCAACATATTTTTACCTATTTAGAAATCTTTTGGGGGAATATGCCATCCCAATTAATGAATATAATCAGTGGAAATCACAAAACTCAGATCTTTATACTCTTTACATACTGCAATGATATGCTGAGCAGGGGTCTTCAAACTTGGCCCTTTTATGATTTGTCGACTTCAACTCCCAGAATTCCTCAGCCAGCGTGCCTGGTTGAGGAATTCTGGGAGTTGAAGTCCATAAGTCATAAAAGGGCCAAGTTTAAAGACCCCTGTGCTAGAGAAGCAGTTCTCAACCTTCCTAATGCCGCGACCCCGCAACCGGTCGTAAGTCGAGGACTACCTGTATTTCCTTGCCCAGGAGTGCCACACATGCGTGGTGCTGCCCCCTGCGCAGGCTGAGGCGTAGCTGGCAAGCGGCAGAGACAGCGCAGACCGACCACCGGCTGGGCCACCAGCTGGCCCAGCCCAAGGCAGGTAAGGCAACCACCGGGCCCCAATATCAAAAGCCAATAGAATAAGCCAATAGAATAAGAGGGAGTAGCACAGCTAAAGAAAAGGGGGGAAAATGGTGGATAGCCTTGTTTGGCGACCCCCGTGAAATGGTCGTTTGATCCCAAATGGGGTCGCGACCCACAGGTTGAGAACCGCTGCGCTAGAGCATAATGGAAGTAAGCAAGATTTATCCCAGTTAATTTTATAGCCAGAAAGTTTTCTAAAACACTGTGTTACCTATATAAATTATCCTGTGTATTTATTGCAAAATATCATTGGGCTATAAAAATAATATCCCACCAAAGCAAAACCCACATTGCCCAAAGGTTCCCATATAATCCTAGCTAAAGAATCAAGGATTAAATTGGAAAGCAAGGGTGGAGTGGCAGCCTGCCAGATACCGCACTGTTGTGGTTTCTGATACTGTAATGTACCATGGCAAATAATACATCTTAATCCAATAAACAAAATCCCTTAGAAACCCAGCAAAACTAATTACTTGCTTCGAAATTTTAATCTGAACTAAATTGAAGGGCTTTTCTGAAACTATAGATATTAGCAGTGCTTTTTTTGAAAAAAAAAAAAGTGCGGGAATTCACACGTCATACAACCCGCTTTGCCTACCCTACAAGGTTCCATCCAAAAAAGGTGCCGGAACTCTGTTCTGGGTGTTCTATGACAAAAAAAGCCCTGAAATCCTTTCTGTCTTCAGCTATATCTAATCAATCAATTAATAAATATAAATTGCCTGTGGGAGGGAATTTTCTGAAGAATGGTAACGTGTAAATAGAATAGAAACATACAGTAAAAGAATGTAGCCTTGGTGTGTCCAGCTCACACAAGTCATATCACAATATGCCTGTGACAATCCACAGACATGTTTCTTTTTTATTAAGATATTTTTTTAAAGATAGTTAACAGTACAAGGGAGAGAAATAACTTGAGATCTATTATTTAATTAATATGTATGCTTATATCATCTGTTACCTCTGCGTATGTATGCCTGCATCATTTCCTTTCCTTTCTGAAATATATAAATATCAGGACATCTGTTTGCAGTGACTTTCACTATTCTTTTGGTAGACCCTCTCCTGTACATACTGTCAAAAACCCACTATAATGATCCTTGATTGTTTGCCTGGGTTCTGCATTTAATGTTTGTTTATTTTTTTTTAAACCTTGACTGGGAGAGTTGATTGCCTTCTGAAACCACCTAACCAATAAAGTAGTTAAAATCATACTGTTCACATTAATTAATGAAATAGACCTATCACTTATGTATAACTTAATATCTTTACATGGTTTTAAAATCATGTAAAATCAGTCTTACCATAGAACAATAGCATCATTCTTGACCTGATTTTATTTATCCTGTCTGTCTTCCTGGGAAGACATAAATCAGGGCCTTTGCACCATGAGGTTTTCACCTGTAAAATTAAAGTTTCAAGTGGATGAATGAAAGCTAAGATCGTTTCATTTGTCATCTTAAAATCTTAACTCCTTTTTGTGGCATTATTTATGGATTATCTAATCAGAAATGTGTCAGCTGAAAGATATACAATTTTGCCAAATTTCAAATCCAATAAAACTTGATACGGGGGAGCATATCAAAATACTGTTTTAACATACTTGCCATTCTTTTCCTCAGGTTAAGTTCATTCCATAATGCTTCTGGTTCTCTATCAACGAGGTTCAGGATTTCAAAGCAATTCCTGATGTTCTCCTTGAATTTCTGAAAAAGTACCTTTAGGTTTATTTCTAAAGTATTTCATTTTGAACCAAATTCAAGGGTCATGTTTACTCTTAAAATAATACATCATTGGAGATGAATTTATTAACTTTAATTTCTGATGATATTTTAAGTTGTAGAACATCTCCAAAGAGACTTTGCTTGAACAAGAGTCTGTAAGCATCTTCTAAAAATGTTTAAATATGCTTACTATCAAAATGTTATCTTCTATATAAACATCTATTTATTTGCTTACATATATTAAAAGTAGTTCTGGTCTCAGTTGTAGAGAAAAAATATCAAAGTTTGACTACTTTTCTGTGATGTTCTCAGATCTTTGAAGAATGCTAGAGGGCATGCTTAAATATTCTCTTCATGTAATTAATATTACTGCCAGTCTTACACATAAATCTGTTGGAGTTTCTAATGCTTTCAATGTCATATACTACAACTTCAAATGTTTATTAGATTTATTACTAAGAAATGTATGCCCATATAATTGTTAAAATTATAGCTGTAGATATCATCTATAGCAGCGGTTCTCAACCTTTGTGTGACGGCGACCCCCGTCACATGGACGCGACACGCCGCTCCCATGCGCGACGGCACCCCCATGCGCGACGGCACCCCCATGTGCGACGCGCATGCGCGGCGCCACCCCGAGGGGGAAAAATGGCGGATCGCGTTGTTTGGCGACCCCCGTAAAATGGTCGTTCGACCCCAAATGGGGTCGCGACCCATAGGTTGAGAACCGCTGATCTATAGTCTGAAGGAGCTGCCTACTGATGTGTGTGTGTGTGTGTGTGTGTGTGTGTGTATAAAGGAAGTTTTCTTTATTAAGAGTCATTTAAATTTCTCATTCCTTGCCTACGTTTCTCCACCATAGTCTTAACTATCTGGATTAATGCCATGTCAGTGAGTTCTCTTTACAGCATTGTGCTTAAGTTCACCTTACCTGATTTCTCTTCATTTATTGAAATTTACAGATGGAACAAATATATAAATTATATA